GCTGCTGCTGCGGCTGGGGGCCCTTGTTACAGGGGAGAGGTCTTCGTGTTGTTGGCGGCTTAAACCCTTTCTTTTGTTTTTATTTTATTAAATACAAAAACAAATACATCCTTTAGGGCCTGCAGCAGCTACTGCTGCTGCACGCTCTGACGAGCTGCCTTCTTGCTGCTGCTGGGTATATACTTTCCCGGCATTTCCGCAGCAGCAGCAGCAACAACAGCAGCAGCAGCAGCAACAGCAGCAGCAGTGGCACGGGTGTCTTACTAGGCTTCAGCATCAGCAGCAGAAGAAACAGCAGGAACGCAGGACTACGCAGCAGCTGCAGCAGCAGCAGCAGCAGCAGCAGCAGTTCTAGCGTGAGCAGCAGCAAGACCCGCTTGCTGCAGCAGATGGGCCCGCGTCGCCGCTGCCCCAGCCGCCCCGTTGGGGGAGGGGGGCCCCTGCAGCCTCGTTTGTATGGGGAGGAGGTGGGGGCCCCCCGCCGGGTGCTGCCGCTGCTGCGCAGCAGCAGGCTGCAGCAGGAGCCCCCTTTGGGTCTCCCCCCCTCCAAGAGGGGCCCCCGTGCAGCAGATGACTGGCCTCAGCCGCGGCGGTTCCCTCCACCATTTGCAGCAGCAGCAGCAGCAGCAGAGGGAGCTGCTCAGCAGCAGCAGCAGCAGCCGCAGCAGCACCGCAGACGAGTCATTCTCCAGGAAGGCCCAAGGGCTGGTGGAGGCGAGCCCCGTAGCGCTGCTGCTGCTGCTGCTGCTGCTGCGAGAGGGGAGGAAGCAGCAGCTGCGGCACGTGCTGCAGCAGCAAATAAACAAACAGCAGCAGCAGCAGCAGCAGCAAACCATACAGCAGCACCGAAGACCGTGCAGCTAACCCCAGCAGCACGTAGAGGTGAGGGAGAAGCCATAACGCCCCGACCAGCAGCGAGACCAGCAGCAGCAACAGCAGCAGCAACAGCAGCAGCAACAGAAGCAACTGCAGCAGCAGGCGGAAAACAAGAGGCAGCAGCAGCAGCAAGGTCAGCAGCAGCAGCTAAGACACGAGGCGAGCTTGCAGAGCCATCAACAGCTGCAGCACCAAGCAGGACAGCAGCAACGGGAGCAGCAGCAGCAGTGAGGCGCCCGCCTGCTGCTGCTGCTGCTGCTGCAGAAACCGAAGCCAACAAGCCTACTGCTGCTGCTGCTGCTGCTGCTGCTACTGCTGGTACTGCTGCTGCTGCTGCAGACGCGTCTCACCAAGAAAAGAGGGCAGCAGCACCAATCAATGCAGCAGAAGCAACAGCAAACACTGCAGCAACAGCAGCAGCAGCAGCNCAGCAGCAGCAGCAGCTGGTGCTGCAGCACGAGCAACGGGAAGACCCACGCTGCAGAGCGAACCCGCAGCAGCAGCCAACCCCGCAGCATCAGCTGAAGCAGCAGCAGGAGCAGCAAGACATGCTCGAGGCACTGCTGCTGCTGCTGCTGCTGCTCCTGCTGCAGCAGCAACAAGCACCTCCGCAGCAGCAGCAAAGACTTCATCAGCAGCAGCAGCAGCAACCCGCGAGATGCCGCATGCAGCAGCAGCAGAAACGGATGGTGCAGCAGCAACAGCGCGCCCAGCAACAAGGAGAACTGTCCTGCTGACTAGCAGGCCTCCTCTTGCTGCAGCAGCAGCAGCAGCAGCAAGGGGAGCAGCACCAACAGCAGCAGCAACAGCAGCAGCGGATAAGACCGCAACAGATAGAGGGAGGCAGCGGGATGCTGTTGCAGGTGCTGCCGCTTCTGCTGCTGCTGCTGCTGCTGCTGCTGCTCCACCTGAGCAAGGAGTGCGTCCCACATAAGCCACGGTAGCAGCAGCAGCAACAGCAGCAGCAGCAGCAGCAGCAACAGCAGCAACAGCTTTGCTGCTGCAGCTGCAGCGACAGCAGCAACAGCAGAATTGTCTGCATCAGAAGCAGAACCATCGATGACTACTGTAGAGACACACAAATTCCCTATCCAAGGGTTTAGAGTTTAGGGTTTAGGGTTTAGGGTTTAGGGTTTAGGGTTTGTGTGCTGCGCCGCAGAAGGGGGGCCCCCGGGGGGACGGGGGGCCCTCTGCAGTGTCTTCTGATTTGCCTTTTGTTATCTGCGATTTGAGTAAATATAACAAAGGAAAGGTCAGCTGCTGCTGCTGCTGCTGCTGTTGCTGCTGCTGCTGTTGCTGCTGCTGTTGCTGCTGCTGCTGCTGTTGCTGCTGCTGCTGCTGCTGTTGCTGCTGCTGCTGCTGCTGTGAGGCGGCTCTGCTGCTGATGGGAACTATCTGCTGCTGCTGCTGCATGCGCTGCTGTCGGTGCTGCAGCTGCATAGGTTTGCTGCTGCTGCGTTTCTATTGCCTGGTTTGCTTCTTGTTGCATGAACGTTGCTCTCAACTGCTGCTGCTGCTGCTGCTGTTGTTGCTGCTGCTGCTGCTGCTGCTGGTGTGTATGCAGATAGGGTTTCGTTGGCGCACTGCAGCAGAAGCAGCTGCTGGGATCGGGGGCAGCAGCTGTGCTGGCAGCGGCTGCAGGACGCAGCAGAAGCAGCAAGCAACAGCAGCAGCTTTGCTGCTGCTGCAGCAGCAAATTGCTGCTCTGCGGCGCGAGAGGGGCCTCCCAGAGGAGGACTTTCTTCGTGCTGCGCTGCTGCAGTGCAACAAAGATAAGGAAGCAGCAGCAGCAAAGGTAAAGAAGCTGCAAGCAGCAGCAGCAGCTGCTGCTGCTGACGCGCGATCTGCTGCTTTTGCTGCTGCAGCAGGGAAAGCTAACGAAGACCGCAGCAGCAAACGAATGGCTGATGCTGCAGCACGTGCTGCTGATCGTGCTGCTGCTGCTGCTGCTGCTTTGGAGGATGCAAACCAGGTAGCTGCAGCAAAGACAGCAGCAGCAGAGGAAGCAGCAGCAGCAGTAGCAGCAGCAGCTGCTGCTATCGATCTAACTCAAGACCATAAGATGCGTCGCCTGCTGGAGCAGCAGCAGCAGCTGCAGCAGCAGCAGCGAGTGCTGCAGCAACTACGCACATACCAGCTTCACTTCAGCTACACAGAGAACGGAGAGGCAAAGCAGGCAAGCATATGTTGCTGCTGCTGCTGCTGCTGCTGTCGCTGCTGCTGCTGCTGCTGCTGCTGCAATTGCCTGCTTCCCATATTGTGCTGCTCCATCGTCTTGCGTTGCTGCTGCTGCGTAGACGTGTTGTTTTTGCTGCTGCCTTTGATCTGACCTATATGAATCTGCTGCTGCCGCTGCTACTGCTGCTGCTGCTGCTGCTGCTGCTGCTGTTGCTGTTGCTGCTGCTGCAGGCCCTGGTGCAGTGCCGTGTCTGCGTACGCTGCGCCTTCAAGCTAAATTTCGATGCTTTGAA